GTTTGTAGATTTTTAGTGTTTGGGGGTTAATAATAACCTTGACTAAAGTTTCTCTGCTCAATAAGTGACTTGTTCTCACAGTTTGGATGTTTACAATGCTTTGAAAAAAGATATTGGCTTTCAATATAACGCTCTGTACTATAAGTATTATATAGACACAGTGTTTTTGATAGGACTGAGCAAAAACAGCTATCAAATTGAATACATTTAAATTTATTATAGCCCCCATCCCAAACATATTTCTTCCAGACCCATGTAAATGATCATCTTTGCAGTGATTTGTTTTATTTAATTTAATTTTTTTTAGTCATGCTCTTTTCTCTGAAACATCACTCCAGTGAGGAACACAACTTGACATTTAATGGCACCTAGGGGTTGAATTTACATTTGTAGCATTGGGTTTGAGACACATATATTAAATGTATGTTTGCTAGTCAAAGGACAACCAAGACAATGTGTTATTACTTAGAATCTCACTGGGCTGTCACAGCTGAAGAGTTGGTGTCTTAAAATTGTGATGAAATTAGAAGAAAGAGGCTTTTTCATTGAAGTTTTATTGAAGCTTGTGTTGGCAAATGAGCAACATATATGTTGTGTAACCATGTTTCATTGGCCTGGAAAAAAAACAGGGCTTACAAAATATGTTCTAGGTTGTGTGAATCATCTTGTTGCCAAAATCCAATCATATTGATCTTGCCTTATCCTGATAAATAACTAGCTTGTCAGCCACCTTCATTTAAATATTTAATTTACTGGTGTACAGTTAAGATGAAGACATATTATCCAAAAAATACTTTGTAAATAAATTGTAATTTAATTTCACCAGCTAGTCGCCAAACACTCAGATTAGTGTGATCCTGCCTTTAGTGAAAATGGGCTCTAACTGCTTCTTTCGGCTGTTCCTGTTTCTGGGGTTGCCACAGTGAGTCGTTCTCCTCCATCCCACTCTGTCTTCTGTGTTCTCTGTTTATAATCCAACTACTCCCATGTCCTCTCTAACTACATCCATTTATCATCTCTTTGGCATTCATATTTTTATATTTTTTTCTTGGCAGGTGCATTTCTAATATCCCTCTTCCAAAATACCCACTGTCCTTCCTCTGGCCATGTCCAAACCATCTCAGTCTCTCACTTCATCCCCCAGTTGTTTAACCTGTGGTGTACCTCTGTTGACCTCATTCCTAATTTTATTCATCCGTATCAATTCCAAGGAGGAAATCAGCATCTTCAATTATGCCATTTCCAGTTCTGCCCCATGTCTCTTTAGCAATGCCACTGTCTCTAAACCATACAACCCAGCTGGTCTTACTTTTCTCTTGTAAACTTTTCCTTTGAGCTTTCGTGTTGCCCATTAGTTACAAGTTACTCCTGAAACTGTTATCCATTCATTCATTCTCAACTCTTGTCTTCACTTCTCTACCACATTCAACATTTTCATGGACAATCAATTACTTGAAGTCCTGCAGCTTTGTGACCTCTGCTCCTTGTAGCTTCATTGTTCCACCATCTATGACTTGCTACAGCTGACCTTCATTCCTCATGTTTCAAGTGCCTAGCAACAACTCTTAAAGTTGTCTTCCACCTTTTCTCACCACAGATCACAATGTCATCAGCAAAGGTCATAGATCACATGGATTACTGCCTGGCTTCATATGTTATTTGGTCCATCACCAGAGCAAACAAGGGGCTCAGAGCCGATCCTTGATCAAGTCACTCCTCCACTTTGCCACCTGTCACTCCTATAGCACATCTCATCACTTGTCCACTGTCCTCATACATGTCCAGTACCAGTCTAATATACTTCTCTGCCTTTCCTGATTTCTACATGCAATACCACACCTCATTCCTCAGCACCCTGTCATATGCTTTTTTTCTAAATTCACAAAGACACAGTGAAGTTCTTTCTGATCTTACCTGTACTTCTCCATCAGCGTCCTCATCGCAAAGATGGTGTCTGTGGTGCTCTTTCTTGGTATAAAACCATTTTGCTGCTGAAAAAATAGTAACCTCTTGTCTGAGACTAGCTTTCACAGTTTTCTCCCAGATCTTCACCGTGTGACTCATCAACTTAATTACTGTGTAGTTGGTGCAATTCTTTACATCAACCTTGTTCTTAAAAATGAGCACCAGCACTCTTCTTCTCTATTCGTCAGGCACATACTCACCCTCAAATATGCCATTGAATATTTGAGTCAAAAACCTCACTGCCATCTCTCCAAGACATTTTCAAAACCCAACTGGTATGTCATCAGGTCCTACTGCCTTCCCCTTCTTCATTCTTATCAAAGCTACCCAAAATTCATCTTCATTAATGTTTCCCACTTCCTGGTTCACACTTTCTATGAACTCTACTCTTCTTTCCCTTTCATTATTTCCATTCATTAGTTCCACAAAATAATCTACCATCTTCTCATCACACTCTCCTTGCTTGTTAGAACATTAACAGTTCTAACTTTAACAAGCTTGACCTGCTGCACGGCCTTTTCAGCCTGATACCTCTGTCTTACCAGAGCAAATATTCTTCTTAGTGTCCAGACTCTTATACAACACATAAAACAACTTTTTTTTGTCTTTGCTATCCCTATTTGCCCTATGTTGCATCTTCCTATATTGCTGTCTCCTCCCCAGTCCTCTCACAGTCCCTTCTTCTTGACTAACTTCCTTGTCGGAATAACATCCTGCACTTCACCATTCCACCACCAGCTTTTCTCATCATCCTTTATCTTTCCAGATGACACACCAAGTACCATCCTCCCATTCTCTCTAATCACTGTTGCTGTAGTAGCCCAGTCATCTGGAAGCTTTTTTTTTACCACCTAGAGTTTTTAACAGCTCCTCTCTGAACTTCTGGCAACATTCTTATTTCCTCAACTTTTACCATTTAGTCTTCGTCCCTGTTAAAAAAATAAAAGGCCTCTTATTATAT